CCTCAATACCACTTAGAAACCAGTGAGGCCCAGAATGCCAAGAGACACTTTTGAAGGCCTTTGAATCACACAAACCCATGAAAATCATCTGAACACACCTGGAATGTTAAGTACAGTCTTGAGTCACACTGTAACCCTGGAAAACACTGTGGAAGGCATTGAGGCCCACTAAGGAACAAGGAAAAGCCATGAGCTTCATTGAAAATTGGGGAAAGTACCCAGACAGATGGAAACTGAGGGAAAGATTCAAAACACCACATTGACTTTGGTGGAGGCACTGAAACCCATTCTAAATCTATATACTGAAGTCCTTTTGCATCACAGATGCTGTGGGGTAAATCTGAGTCCAAATTATATCTAAAATTTCAAAAAATGACCCTACAAAATTCTGTCACCTCTGTAAGTCATTGGGAAAAACACTGAGCCAGACTGTAAACTTGGAGAAAGCCACAAGTTTGTACCAAGAAACATGCACTATCTTGAATGCCTACAAAAGAAAGAGGAAGCCCTGAGCACCACTATGACACTGAGAGTATCTCCATGTTACATTAACACATTGGACAAGGCTCTATTCCCAATGAGTCACTAGGGAAAGACATTATTTTTCTAGAACACTGTGGAAGTATCTGAGCACCACTGGATGTTGTGCCCAATTTCATACTAACTGAAATAGTTCCATAGGCCTGAAGCCTCACTACAATATTTAGGCAGCCCCTGACACACAAACACACTGAGAAAGATGGCAAACACCAATGTGATGTTGGAAATAGCAATTACCTCCACAGAGACCCTGTGATAGTCCCTGGGATAAGAGAAGCCAAGTCATTCAAGGATGATACCAGTCCTACAAATGTGTCCCCCATGATGCTCAATGCCACAGACACCCCTGTGATGTGCATGAGAAAAAATTTGTGGGACTGGAAGCCATGGAAAATTATGATGAGGTCTATGACTGAATGGGCTCCATTTTTTGGGGCCTCCAGAAGCCTATGGTTCAAATGCTTATAGGGAACAAACCTATGGACTTTATGGTGAATGCTAGGGCTCACCATTTGGTTGTGACCCAACCTGTGGGCCCAATTTCAAAGAAAGAAACCACAATTGTGGGGGCCCCAGGAAACAAAACAGATTATCCTTTCCTGTTACCACAGCATTGAAATTGAGGGTCACAAAGTAGTCCAAAAATTTCTATACATACCAGATTCCCCAGTTCAATTGATAGGTTGAGACTTGGTAGGAAAGCTCTAAGCCCAGATAACTGTTAATGCAAAAGGCCAGTCACTGGTATCATTGAGAAAACCCGAAGCAAATATTTTAACCCTCACAATCCCTGGGAAGAGGAGTGGCACCTCTTCAGCCTAGTAGAAACATCACAAAAGGAACCAGACATTCCTTTCCAACTACAAGAAGTATAGACTTCTTGTATAAAGTATAGAGGCCAACCCACCTGGACTAGCCCAAAACTTTCTCCCAGTGGTGATGAAATTTAAACTTGAAGCCATACTGGAAACCTAAGACAACATCATATTTCTTATACAGCAAAATTTGGAATTCAAAAACATTTGGACACACTTTTACAATATGGAATTCTCAGAACTCAACAATCACCATGAAATACACCTCTTTTGCCTGTCCAGAACCGGAAACTGATGATTATTGGCTAGTCCAACATTTACATGCAGTAAATCAAGCCACAGTCACCCTACATCCTGTGATCCCCAATCCACATAATCTCCTAAGTCTGCCCCCAGCTGAGGTGGGCTATTTCACATGTCTGGACCTTAAAGATGCCCTCTTCTGCAGGCAACTTGTACCCCAGAGTCAGCCACCCTTTGCCTTCCAGTGAGAAGACTCCAATGGGAACAAAGGCCAAATGGCCTGGAATAGGTTACCACAAGGTTTCAAAAAGTCACCAACCATCATTGGGATAGTGCTGGCCTCTGACTTAAAAGCCTTTCCTGCAAAACAATGTGGATGCACATTGTTCCAATATGTAGATGATCTGTTCCTGTCTGGAGCAACCAGAGAAGACGGCATAAAAAGAACACAGCTGCTACTCACTCTCCTATGTAAGGCTGGTTACAAAGTTTCACAAAAGAAAGCCCAGATCTATCAAGAAAAGCCAAGTTCCTTGGTTTGTGTATTACTCGGGGACAGCGGCAACTGGGCTACAAGAGAAAACAGGTGACCTGCTCAATTCCAGTCCCTTCAACCTGCTGTCAAATCAGAGATCTTTGGTGCCACTTAATTCTGCTGTGTATGGATCTCCAACTTTTCAGTTATGGCAAAACCCCACTGTGAAGGCCCAAAAATGAAAGAACAGGATCTTCTGTTTGGGGGGGCCAACAAAACAAAAGGACTTTGAGGACACTAAAGAAGCACTCACCAATGCACCTGGACTAGGACTCCCTGACCTCACAAAGCCTTTCTTCCTGTAGGTCCGTGAATGGTATGGAATAGCTGTGGGGGTCCTGACTCAAATGCTGGGAACATGGCACATCCAGTGGAACTATCTATCTAAACAGCTGGACTCTGTATGTAGCCCAAGGCTGGCCACCTTCCTTATGGGCCCTTTCAGTCATGGCCCTTCTGGTGTTGGAAGCTAATAACCTGGCTATGAAACAAGAATTAGGTGCCCATGTTCTTCATTAATTTTGACATTATTAGATTACAAAGGATAATGTTGGCTGAATAATGAAAGAATGGTCAGCTACCCTTGGGTGGGAAAGTAAACCTTTTTCTTAAGATGGCAGCTGTTGCTTAAGATGGTCATCCAGATGCTAAGCTAGGACCTTCCACTGGGTAAGAGAGTCTTTATGTAGTAAAGTTGAATATATCTAAATTAAAAAAAAGAAAAAGAGAATATAATTGATAAAAATGTCTATATAAATGAAGGGTAAACTTTAAAATGTTTGTGTGCAATTAAATTGGTTATACATAAGTAACACTATCAGTTAAATCTACTCAAGGTTTTTCCCTAAAGTCATATATTAATGTACTGATATAAACCAAAGTTTAATACATATGTTGAAATGACAAGGATTTTTTTCAAATATTAATTCACTCTTAACATTGAATCTGTTAACTTTTACTATCTAGAGCAATTACTGTTAAAAATCGGGGTTTATATTGTTATTTTAGAGTATTGTACTAAATTACAGAGTCTATATTTTTCTTTAAAAGCTAAACCAGATTACTATGTAAACATCAATGAAATTATGGCACTGTTACACTTCTTTGTATATTAAATGTGTTCATATATTTCAGACATAGAAGTCTTTAAAGTAAAACTTTATTTTTTTATTTTTTATATGTTTATTTTATTTATATGTGGTGCTGAGGATTGAACCCAGGGCCTCCCTTGCACATGCTAGGTGAGCACTCTACTGCTGAGCCACAACCCCACTCTGAAAGAAAAAGTTTTGAAAGAACATTTTATCAAGCTAGTGGTCTCCAAACTAAAGTTGTCTCTAATGATAATTTTAGACTTATAAGGATAACAAATTTTATTGGGGATTTATTTATATCAAGGAATGTTCTGTAACCAAATCTAAACCTTATGTTACTTGTTACACTGGGATAAAAATGTAAATGTATTTCTAAAAGATAATAAGGGACTGACCTACTTAAAGATTAATCTTGTAAAACATAAAAATTTTTTGCCACTTTTTCCACAAAAAGAAAGTTAAACCTTTCTTAGCCTTTCTTTAATTCTTGTTTCAGATAATGTCATATTGTGTTAACTAACACAATCAGTTAGGCCAGACTCATCTCACTTCAAATTTTATTCAAAAGATTGATAATTTATTTTAAAGATTACTGTAGTCTCAAACATAGGATATAATGTATAACTCAGCTAAGGTTTAAGATTATGTATAAACACAATATTTTTTTCTACTCTTGTTAATTTCATTTTAAATTTTTCTTGTAAACTTTAACTACTTACAAAAGTGCCTTACAAAAGTACAACTTCAAATATAACAAACTAAATTAATTTGAAATATAAGGCCATCATCTACAGACAGATACTATATAATGCTAACTTCCAATACTAATAGAGACCCCAATTAAATAAAAGGGGTAAAGATGACTGTGAAGTTATAAATATTAAAGTTAAAGCCCAGTACTCGTACTTTAAGACTGGGTTGCTGGATATTTAAGATCAAGGCTTAAAGATTAAGGTTAAAAAGATGGGGTGGGGGCAAGAAACACAATATTTAGCTCTTGCCCTCTGAGTCAGCTTGAACCCAGGAAACAAGGGAAATTCTCTAAGAGCTTTGCAACTCTGGGTCACATGACCCCCCAATCAGGTGGATTACTGGGATCTTTAAATAAATCCAATCAGTACACTTACTGCCATTGAAAAAGAGAGATATCCCTGATGTTTCCAAGGGAAGCCACATGGTCAGTGAGACCTTGACTTATCCTGATGGATGGCATTAGCAGAGCTAAACAGCTGCTCATTAGTTCCCCAACAGAGACCCCAAGAGAACTCAGCTGACTCCTAATGATAGATAAGAACAAGTTCACTTTGACCAGCTTGATCTTGAATATCTAACAAATACTCTTAAAATGAAAACAGAGGTCATTCCAATAAAAAGATATTTTACAAAAATCAGGTGGCATTAAGTAGCTTAAATAAATGTTGTGTTTACATTCTTGATATCTGTGACCAGGTTAAAGATTTACATCCCCAAATTTAGCTTTGTCCTCTCTGTCCTTTTAGGCCTTATTATGAGGACAACTTCTCAACTCTGACACCACCTGGTGAGAGATTATTGATTTCTATCATCTTCATGATATTCATTGACATGTTCCAGATGATGAAACATTTATCTTGTATTAATCTCATAACAGTACTCATGTCTTTATGTTTCTTTCACAGACACACCCATGTTTTGAAAAGTCTCATGACTAAACACTCAAGGTCACTCCAGGTGAACTGGGAGGCAAGAAATAACCACACAGAGGCAGAGAAATATCTTTTTCTTGAGAAATACCTTTTTTCTTTGGGTTCTGTGATGGCTCCTGCAACCTTGGCATCTGTGCAAAGAGAGAGAGGAGCACAGGTTGAACCCTTTCATTGGGAAGAAGCCATTCAAATGAGGCAAATGGTAGGATTACAAGGGAACAGGTGAGTGTAGCTCAACTGCTTCCACATGGGCAGTTAACTTAAGTTTGCTCATGTGAATTTCCAGGGACACCAAAAAAAAAAAAAAAAAAAAACACAGACACACACTGTACCTTTAATCAAACTTCAGGATGGTTTCTTTGTTCTCTGCCTCAGGCTCCTCAAATGGGAGAGCAAGAGAAAGTCGCAAGGGGCAGGTGAGAGACTGTAAGCATATTTGGATGTGGAATCTTATTGAGTGACCCTTATTCTTAGAAATTCCATCCAAAAATGGTCAGAAGTGGCAGGGTTACAAAGGACAGGTGAGTGTAATTTGACCCAAAGGGCCATGAGGTGAGAGACCTACATCTAAAGACATGCCCTCAAACTTCCAGGACCAGGGCAATGTCCAGGTCACTACAATATTTAGTGCCTGTCAAAGCCTCTCCCCTCCAGGATGGGAGGCATAAATCATTCAGAGTGGCTTCCCACACTCACCCCCTCTGGGTACCACCTACCCCTAGGGCTACTCCCAGAGCCATACCTTATTATCCAACCATGGGAAAAGATGGAGTCATGGCACTTCTGCTCCAGACTATATTGATATTTCAGACCCCCATGGTGCATCAGGACTAAAGGTGCCTTAATTTGGAGTGGCTACCCACAAATTCCCCTTGATTAATATTTAAAGGCAATTGGGGTATTACATGATTTAGTCACCAAGAAAATATGGTTAAGCTTCCAGTGTAGGGAATAGTATGTAAATCTTAGTAGTAATATGTAAATCCCAGTGTAGGGAGTAGTATGTAAATTTTACCATATTTTTGTGGATAATAGGTCCAATCAAAGAACTTATATAATACCAATGAATTTTCAACAAAGTTTGCAAACTCTATTGCTCAAAACCAATGTACCACTTTAGTTTGGAGAACATCAATGTTCTCCCAAGTCTCACAACTATCCAGCAAAAAAAAAAAAAGAGTAATTTGTAAATTTCAGCAGGTTCTTTGAATCAATCTAATTTAGTCTCTAATGAGAATTGTCAAATTTGGGATCTAAGTCAGCAGTTAAATATATTTCATGTTTAATCAAGAATGTGAATTTATTTTCTAAAATTAATACTTGCCTTAAACAATGAGAATCATTAGGCAATAAAGACCTTCTTGAAAGGAAATACACGTAACATTTTAATAGGTCTTTAGTGTGTCAAAATATGGACAATATCTTAGCACACATCAGTAGATTCAAGAAAATAGCCTGAAATACTCTTGAATTAATCAATTAAATTTTTATAATTAGTCCAGTACATATAAATCTCTTTTTCAATTGTTTTAACTTTCTATATCATCTCTCTACATAATGCTATACAGATTTTTCTTTTTAGGAAAATACTCTAATCATTAAAATCCAGAATACAAACACCTTGTTTTACCCAAAGATGATTCATTTCTTTCTCTTAGGACCTCCAATATGTGCTTCCTCTCTGTGAAAGTATCTTCTTTTCCTTTTAGAATTCTTCCTGGTTTTTTTTTTTTTTCTGGGACAATATTTGAAAACTGTAGAATCTAACAACTTATTATATCTTGATAAGAAGAAACATCTCAAATGAAAATATAGTTAAAGCCATTGGATATTTCTGTAGACAGAATTAATTATATTTGTTATTACCTTATAAAGTTTGTACAACAATTTGGGAGAGATTACTTGATGGTTGTATTATCTCTTAAAAGCAAATTTATAGTAAAATACATTTATCTCAAATACCTGTAATTAAAAGGCAGAGCATCAGAGAAATGCATGTATAAGTAATATATAAATTATGTGTTTTCTGTTGAAGAAAAACAATTACATAAATACATATTAATTAAACAATTAGATATATATGCTAATTATTTTATGAATTAACAACTACAGGTTGTCCAAATTCCTAGAAAAATATGTATTAAGAATAAGGGCATTACTTATAATAGTATTAACTTTATGCAACCACGTGGTTCTTATGATATCTGGATCCATTTTAATTTTTCTTGGATTAGTAGTGATTGTTTTAAATTTGTGACATACATAATAAGATTCTTCTGTATACATTGACTTATGTCTTGTAATTTTATACTCAGGAATGAGAATGAGGATTATTTGATTATCATAGGGACATTGCCGGCTTTTGTTCCTGTGACAAGCAAATGTCTCCTCAAAACCTTCAAAATTAAAAGCAAAATATAAAGAAGCTTATGTATGTCTTATAATTGTTACATTCCAAGTTCAACATAATCTACCATTGAATCACAAAAGGAATTAGTAGAAAACATACCATTTCAATAATATAATCAACTTGCAAGATCCAAGTTATTATTTTTACTCTGACAAACACTCATCAGAAGATTTTTAATCTTTTTTCAATTTTATTGGGAAGCATTGCATTTGGCCATATTAACAAAGATTATTTAATTGGCATGGCATTTAAGCCTATCCACAAACCATAGAGCAGAAGGCTCATTTGCATTATTCAGTATATTGTCTTCTAGAGCATTTTAACTTAGTTCCAATTCTTCCATCAGAACTTAATTGACTATGAAGGATCTTGGAAGTGATTTAAATCAAATCTTAAGAAAATTCACATGTTCTAAGTTTAAAACATAGCCATAAAGACTATAATTACAGAAGCAGGAAATTATATTTAATGTAGTCACTTCAAGGATCATGAGAGCAGGAGCTTGCCTAGGTCTGGTTAATTAGCATGCACCTGTTTCAAAGCCTGAATGTTAACCTCAGCATATTATAGCTCTGAAATATTAGCAGGCAATAACTAGTGATACAATAAGACAAGTTGCATTCTTACAGACTACAGGATATACATCATCCTTTTAGTTAATTCTCACATTTAATGAGTTTTTTTAGGTCAATAATGTAAATATTTTGAAGATAGAAGTCAAACATCAAAACATCCTTTTGGGTGCCAACTCACTGAGGGGCTAGGTTATTACCAATAAACCTTCATGTGTTATGGCATCCTTGCATAATCAGCTTTGTCAATTCTGGGAGACCAGTCTAAAATATATCCACTATTTCTAGATATCTTGGGTTGACTGGCAAGACATTTGCACCAACTATCCATACTACAATTCCTATTGTAGAATGAGTAGGAGAATAATATGTTGGTGGATATCTTACATAAATAACTGGCCTGTGTAGAATAAAAACTATTTTAATAATCTTTCTGACAATTGTCCAGAAAAGTAAATATCATCTTAACTTTTAAGGACCAGCATGATTGGCTGGTTTAGGTTTCTTACATGCTGTCTTTTTCTCAAAAGATAATCCCAGAGAGTCTGTGTACCATAAGTTCAACATATAGGAATAATTGAACATTACAGTCAGTACAATTAATCTAGTTCATGGGTGGACTTTTCAGTCCACACTTCAAGGCACATTAAAGGTGGACCTGAGAAATGGGTCCATGCAAGTCTCTTCATAATTTTTACTTGCCTGATAAGCTCATGAAGCTGCATGGCTCTAAATTCTGCAGTGGTGAGATTTACCTTACAATTTCAGGCCCTACAGTCATTTTCATGATGAGAGGTTTCAACTCTCTTTTAAAATCTGATTTAATTTACTGAATCATGTTGAGTAACAATAAAACTCTCAATATTACAATTTAAGAAAAAAAATTTTTTTTAATATTTGTAAGATCTAGTATGTGCTTGTGGGGTCCTGTTTTTTTTTTCTTTTTCTTTATTTAAAAGACTGTTATAAATCATAATATCAGTAATTTAAATTATAGGGAGCCCTCAATCTCTTCTTGAGAGAAGTTTCCAAAATATTTCTATATCTAAGAATATTATCCTTTAAATAGGTATCTCTTAATTGTCTTTGAGGAAATACGATTAAGCTTACTTCCCAGTGTAGGGAGTAGTATGTAAATTTTACCATTTTTAAAATAAATAACAGGTCCAGTCAAAGAACTTATAAAACACTAATGAATTTCCAGCAAAGTTTGCAACCTTTATTGCTCAAAAGCAATGTATGACTTTAATTTGGAGAATATCAATGTTCTTCCAAATCTCACAAATATCTAGCAAAAAAAAGGGAATTTGTAAATTTCAGCAGTGTCTTTGAATCAATCAAATTTAGTCTCAAAGGATAATTGTCAAATTTGGAATCTAAGTCAGTAGTTTAATATATTTAGTGTTTAATCAAGGATGTGAATTTATTTACTAAAATTAATCCTTGCTGTAACAATACGAATCATTAGGCAATAAAACCCTTCCTTAAAGAAAATACACGTAACATTTTAGTAGGTCTTTATTCTGTCAAAATATGGACAAAATCTTAACTCACATCAGCACAGTGAAATCAAGAATATAGCCTGAAATACTCTTGAATTAGTTAAAATTTTTATAGTCAGTCCAGTACATATAAATCTCTTTTTCAATTGTTTTAACTTTCTATATCATCTGTCTACATAATGATATACAGATATTCCTTTTTAGGAAAATAGTTTTGTCATTAAAATCCAGATTAAAAAGACCTTGTTTTACCCAAAGATGATTCACTTCTTCCTCTTAGGACCTCCAATGTGTGCTTCCTCTCTGTGTAAGTATCTTCTTTTCCTTTTAGAACTCTTTCTGTTTTTTCCTTGGAACAATTCTTGAAAACCTTAGAATCTAACAAATTATTGGACCTTGATAAGAAGAAACATCTCAAATGAAAATATAGTTAAAGCCATTAGATATTTCTCTAGACAAAATTAATTATATTTGTTTATTACCTTATGGAATTTGTACAACAATTTGGGAGAGATTACTTGATGGTTGTATTATCTCTTAAAAGCAAATTTATAGTAAAATACATTTATCTCAAATACCTGTAATTAAAAGGCAGAGCATCAAAGAAATGCATGTATAAGTATTATATAAATTATATGTTTTCTGTTGAAGAAAAACAATTAGATAAATATATACTAATTAATCAACTAGACATATATGCTAATTATTAATGAATTAACAACCATAGGTTATCCAAATCGCTAGAAAAATATGTATAAAGAATAAGAGCATAACTTATATAATTGTATTAACTTTATGCAACCACGTGGTTCTTATGATATTTGGATCCATTTTAATTTTTCTTGGATTAGTAGTGCATTGTTTTATATTTCTGACGTAACATATTAAGATCCTTCTGTATACATTAACTTATGTCTTGTAATTTTATACTCAGGAATCAGAATGAGGATTCTTTGATTATCACAGGGACATTGCCGGCTTTTGTCCCTGTGACAAGCAAATGCCTCCTCAAAACCTTCAAAATTAAAAGCAAAATATAAAGAAGCATATGTATGTCTTATAATTGTTACATTATCTCTGCAATTTTTCTTAATAATACAGCTATAAAGAGAAAAATGTAAGTTACCTTAGAAATTTTGAAAAAGTCTCAGGGATGGAATGTAGAAGCCTGTGGAATTAAATTTTGCCAGAAAAAGATCTTTCATTAGTATTTTAGGTAGATATTCTTAAAAATGCAGTCTCTGCACAGCTCCTGGTAGCAGGGATGAAACAGGAAGTACAGGTTAGTGGCTGGAAAGTGGGACCAGAAGTCCTGTCTGAGTGACAGTGAAAGGACCAATGGGAAGCCGAGAAAATACAGGAGGCAGGACCCGGAAACCAGCTTGGGCCTTCCAGGCTTCCTGTTGTTACCATGGTGATGGAAACAGCGGGGACCAGCTGTTCCTTGTCTGGGGCAAAGGCTCCCTGAGCTTCCCTAGCCACTTGCATTCCATTTGATTTGCTTGTATTTTCTGCAGCTGGGGAGGGTCCTAGGGTGGGAGGCAGCTTGCCTTGTCTCTGCTCCCTGTGCCTGCTGCAGCTGGTGTTCTTCTGTCTTTTGTATCTTCCCTTGCAGCACGTGGGACTTTAAAATGTGTGTTTTAACAGCAGATGCCAGTGTCACTATCAGATCTTAAGGCAGTCTGCATTTGGCACCTAGTTCAGGTTGTTTAAGGGTTAAAAGCACTGCTGGTGGTGGGTCTAGTTATGGACCCCATTATAGAACAGTGGCTAAAGTCTTCTGATTCTGATGTGGTAGGACAAGAATGTATCAAAGAGGTTCAGTATAAACTGAGTATTCACACACAAAAACGAAATTTCACATCTCTACAGGTAAAGAATCCTTGTATCAAGTCTCATCACAAATCCCTTCTTTTTTTTCTCACTCTCCAAGCACAGACTTCTAGTACATAACCAACCTCCCCACCCCCCCCAAAAAACTTTACCTAATATTTTACAATATAAAGAATTATAAAAACAATTTTTAAAAGTCCACAGAGGCACTTTTTTCATGGGAGAGGACTGAACTTACAACATATCCCATTAGTCATCTTAATAATTCTTTACATTTATTTAGAGTCTCTAGAATTGTAAAAATTATTTTTTCCCTTTATAAAGGCAAAATATTCCCAAATATTAAAAGTATAATGTCACAAGATTTTTCTTCTGTCTAATTCACTTTCTACAATTCAGCCCACAATAAGACCAAGTCATGAGCCATGGCACTACCATCCCAGACTGCAGTAATCTTTCAGATCCCTGTGGTGCATCAGGACTTAAAGGTGCATGACTTTGGAGTGGCTCCTCACAACCTCCTGCACAGGTGGTGGAATTTGGGGTTTCTTTTGCATAAAGCAGTCTAGCTGTGAAATACAGCCAAGAAAAGAAGGCAAATAAATAAATAAATAAAATAAAATAAAATAAAAATTTAAAAAAAGAAAGAAAGAAAGAAAAGAAGGCAGCAGAAAACCCACACTACACAGAAAGTAATTTTGAAAAGCAGGGTGAGACGGCTCTTTGACCTTACAAATCAAGCTTCCACACTGGGAAGAGAGAGCCCAAATTTGCTTTATTATATATGGAGAAACTTCAAAGATTTTCCATACAATGTTCTTCTGCCAAATAAGGTAGTAGGTGGGCTGTCCAGGCCCAGTGGGTCATACCTAATTCTGAAGCTATAAGAGCAGCCCCTTCAGCCAAGGTAAGACTGAAGTCACTTGTATTGCATAATTCATGAAGTGGGAGAAGCCACAAAATGACTTGCAATTCCAAACCGAAATCTCCATGGCTCAAGGCCAAGTGAAGACACTGAATAGCTCAGAAGTGGCTTCCCACATCCACCTCAAGATGACTTTACAACAGGTTCATCACAAATCACACTTTTACCATAGACCCCTTGACCCACCCTATCTCTAATAGGGGACTCCAACTGCTTGTCCCATGACCATGATGTCACCTATAACCTTGTAGCAACAAGAGTGATCCTCCCCCTTTTTCTTACAGCAGCAAGGAGTCTCTAGAATTAGATGGGAAAATAAAATAAAAATTTCAGTTAGTGTAGAGAGGTAATTGGGTCAGATCACAAAAAAAAAAAAAAAAAAAAAAAAAAAATGGAGACCATTTTGGGTCCAAAAAGTTGGAGACCAGCTCTGGATTATTCAAATGTTCAGACCTCCAGAGCACTTCCTCCATTCTAAGATAGCATACTCCTGTTTCAACCTATTGTTAAGTCTCTTAACAGGTTCAACCTGAAGCTTATAAGTTCCTTGGAGAGAACAAACCACAAGAGACCACTGATTTTCAATATCCTTTCCAGACAGGAGACTATGTCGACAGCATAAAGGTGTCTGCTAAAAAAATAATTAATGAATGAGTTAATTAAAGGAGAAGAATAAAGAAAGAAAAAAAGAAAAGAGCAAATAGCTCTGAGAGGCCCCAACCACCCTCTAAATGTAAGATTAGAACATATTGCTCATGTTTTGTCTATTACTCAGACATTTTATAAAACCCTAGCTATTAAAATAACATATTTTGTCAGTCAAATTATTATATTTGTTTGGCAATTACAACCTCTTCCTGGATTCAGAAGGTAAGTCAAGGGTTTGATTGTTTCTAGATAAAATTGGAATATTATGGACCAAACTACATGTTCTCAGACAAACTCCATTCTACCTTTAGATTCCATTTCATATAAGAAAGATTGTTCCATGAGAAACCTCTGCCTCTACCACCTCCTGCAAACCACACATTGTTTGGCAAGCCATGGTGGTTGAAAAATATTTTTCTTATTCTTATACAATGTATTATCAAGAAATACAGTTGTAAGATGTTCTCTTTTAGTTGATATTTCTCATTGGAAGTGTACTGTTCCCTGAACTGGGTCATTCTGGCCCATCTCCTACATTGCTATGGTTTTGAATTACTGGTAGTTTTCATGTTTTGGCTACAAAAGAGATATCCTACATTCTGCAAGGGGTTGAGATATGCAGAAGCAATGTGGTCAGTGGCCCTTGACCAGCCAGTAAATAAATATCCATGTCTTCCTTCAAGCTTCATCCAGTGATTTATCTAGAACATGCCACAACACCAGGCTCCACTATTCACTAAATCAGTACCAGAGGCCATGAGCCTCATTAGTGACCTGGGAAAGCCCTGAATTCCAGTGATACACTGGGAAAAATCTCTGAATGCCAATTAGATACCAGTGAAGGCCTGAATGCCAAGAGACATTTGTGAAGGCCTTTAAATCACACAAAATTATGAAAAGAATTTCAGTATCCCTGAAATTCTATGGACAACACTGAATCATAGCCAAATCCTGGAGATAGTCCTGAGAACTACTGATACGCTATGGAAGGTAATGAGTCCCACTAAAAAATATGGGAAAGCCTTGACTTTCACTGTTGAGCAGAAAAAAAAAAAAAAAAAACAAAAACAAGGGGAATCAGGGAAAGGTCCACAAACACATTTAGAGCTGGTGGAGCTGAAAAATCCCACTGAAAACATACTAAAGGCTTTTACTCTCACAGAAATACTGGGGGAAATCTAAGACCAAATCATACCTGAGACCTCAAAAAAAAAAACAAACTAGACAATACTCTGAGGTCTGATAAGCCATTGAAGTGAACACTTAAGCCAGACTGAGACTCCGGAGAAAGCCCTGAGCTTACACTAAGAAACATGGAGTATCCCTGAGTACCACTGACAGAGTGGGTAGGCCCTGAGCAACACTGTGACAATGTGAATATCCCTGAGTTTCAATGACACACTAGGCAAGGAACTAATCTCCATTGAGACATTAATGAAGGCCAATATTTTCCAAGAATTCTGGAAAATAATCTAAGCATCACTTGATATTGAGAAGCATCCTAAAACCCGTTGAAATATTAAGGGTAGGCCCCAGGACTCACTATGATACTTAGGAAGTCTCTATCACTCAATTAAACACCAAGAACACCACTGATGCTGGGAATGGCACTGAGCTCCACAGAGACACTGGAAAATCCCTGGGATTCAGTAAAAAATGCTGAAAGGCCCTGAACCCAATGTTTCCATTAGGAAGATTCAGTGTCACTCTGATGCTGGAAGAAACACTGAATATCAACTGATACTCTGACAATACCACTGAGCCTATGGGGGAACCCTATAAAATCAAGAAAAAACGGAGACACTGTGGATGGCTCTGAAGTCCAGGGAGACACTGCAAAATATTCTGAGAAAAACTGAGAGTCCAGTAATGGTCATGAGTCCCACTGATTATTTGGGCAATGCTTTTGGCTCTGTGAAAATTTGGGGAACATCCTGAACCACATTTAGATTCTGAGAATATTTGAGAGACCCACTGAATGCCAGAGGAATGGAAGGAGAACACTGAGACTCTGGGAGACGACCCTGAACATGACTGTGAGAATAGAGGAGACCATAAAACTTATTGAGATTCTGGGCAAGGACAGAGTCACATTCCATTGAATGCATATGAAAGGCCATGAGTCTCATACTGACCTGGAGAAGTTCTAAATTCCAGTGATTGACTGGGAAAATCCCTGAATCCCATTTAGACCCAGGTGCTGAGATTTTCTGAGACCCTGGCAGAAACCCTGAACACGGTACCCTTGAGGAACTACCTAATTCCAGCTGACATGCTGGGAATAGCACTTAATATGACTGAGACACTACAAAAGGCCCTGAGAAACACTGAGAGCCTGGTAATGGCCATGAGATCCCCAGAGGCCCTAAGCAGGGCTTTTGGCTCTTTAAAAACCTGGGGGAACCTTCTGAACCACACTGAGATGCTGGAAATTTCTAAGATCACTGATGAATACCCAAGGAAAAGAAAGATAACATTAAGTCTCAGGGGAAAACACCCTGAGCATAACTGTGAAACTTGAGGAGACCATGAAACACACTGATGCCCTGGGCAAGGTGCCACACTCCATTGAATCAGTATGAAATGCTGTGAGGCTCTTTAGAGATATGCAAAATCTTTCAATTCCAGTGATACACTGGGAAGAGTCCTGCACCCAAATTAGATACCTGTGAAGACCCTGAATGCCTAGAGACATTGCTCTGAGTCACACTGAATTTCAGTGTATCCTTAGTACTATGGATATTCTGTGGAAGGCACTGAGGACCACAAATGAACATGAGAAAGCAATGAGCTTCATTGTTGATCTCAAAAAGCTCAGAGATATAAGAAGACCCTGGGAAAGGACCACAACTCTTGTTATAGTTTTGATGTAAGATATACTCCAAATCTTTACACGAGACAATGTAAGAAGGTTCAGAGGAGAAATGATTGTGTTTTAAGAGCCTTCACATACTCAGTGATTCAGTTTCCTCATTTGGTTTAACTGAGTGGTCACTGAAGGCTGTTGAGGTGTGGCTGGAGGAGTTGGGACTTTTGGGGCATGGCTTTCTGATACACATTTTGTATCTGGTTAATGGAGTTATCTTCTGCTTTCTGTTGGCCATGTGAGTTTCTTCCCTCTGCCACACTCTTTCACCATTGTAACGAGGGGTGAAATTGTGATATACACAGTCGAGGGGAGGAGTAAAGAATGTCCATTCTCTTCTGCCCCTTTCAATGATTTATTCACTCAAATTACTCCATGCAGTTTCATTTTATAGGTTTTTAATCAAGAAAATGACAATCCTTAATGCTAGGCATTGCAATAGACATAATCAATTCACAGCAAACAATTCTAGATTAATTAATTCACAGCAAAACTTCTAGATTAATTCTAAGCACTGCAAAACACACTTAATCATGATAGTCTAATGACAGACATTTTCTCTGCAAGTCTTAGGCTTTAAGTCCAGCAGATGCACTCTCACTCAGACCCGGTGATCAGGTCTGGAAGCAAGGCAGGCTTTTCCTGGCATGGAGTGGATGACCAATTGCGGAGAGGGTCATAGGGAGAAGTTGTGGCTCTCACCAAGGTCCAGATTAGGTGGTAGAGTTTGAGAGTGGTGACGATTACGCAGAGGCTCAGGGGATGTGACAAGTGATGGGATGTCAGGTCCTCATAAGGCTCTCCAGCTTGAGTGCATCCTTGTTTCAGCTGGCTGAATTCTTGTTCATTTGCTCTATTATTCATACAAAATTTGGGGGTTTTAACCACCTTTTCAATCCTTACCAGCTACCACCAGATTTCTCAGTGACATTATTTACCCTGTGGTCAGAAACATCTGGTCTGTTGGTCTCCACATTGATGATTTTGCTGTTTCCTCTTATCAGGAAAGCCTTCTGGGGTTTCACTCATGTTTAATAAGCATTTTGAGCTTTTTGGAATTGGTGGGAGGAATTTTGCGATGTGTAGCTGTGCAGATGGAAATGCTTTATATTTTTGTAAGCAGAGATTAATGGCTGATTCTGGCGGGAGCTCAGAAGACCAGAATGGCAACAGGACACCAGTCAGTGAAGACCAGGCTCAAGAGGGTTTAGAAATGGAGGACTTTATGGGAATTTGGAGTTGAGACCATTCTTGTTATGTTCTGGCTGAGAAGTATCTGCATTTTGCCCAGGTCCTGAGACTTTCAGTGGGGCTGATTTTAGAAGCAGTGGACATTTTCTTAGTTGTAGATGAACACAATAACTTTATTTTTAGTTATTTATTATTGATGTGGTGCTGAGGATTGAATCCAGTGCCTCACACATGCTAGGTGAGTGCTCTGACACTGAGCCACAACCCTAGCCCCAGAAGTGACTTCCTTATGTGGTGGAAGAAATGTTTAGGCAGCATAGCATATAGGCCATGACATAGATATTGCTGACATGTTTTAGCAAAATTTATTGGGTTATTCAGGAGCAGAAAGCAGAGAAGAAATATTTGGAAATAGTTAACTTGAAAGGTCATAAAACTAAAGCTAAGGAAGTTTCAGTTGTTAAAGCCATTATCACCACTACAAAAATGCTAAAGACTTTGAACAGAGACAATAAGAAAGGTGGCTTAAGGGCTTCTCAAAATCTAGCAAGTCTACACTCCAAGCTCCTGGGAGTAAAGGTGAGAGTTTTCTTAACAAGAAAACAGAGGGTAAACCTTCTTATGCAAGGGGGCCTACAGAGTGTTTTCCACAGGCTCCACTACACAAACACTCAGAGGCTGTTGAAGCCAGCATCCCTGGAGGCTTGGTTATTGCTCAACATACTGGCAGTCCTTGGGACCAATCATGAGGTTCTTGCTCTGCATGAATGTAGGATGCTTGAGTTAGGGATTTATGGAGGGTTCTTCCATGATTTCAAAGGAAGGCCTGGGATACCAGACAAAGGGCAACAGGATTGGAGTCCCTGTGGGCACCTGAGAAGTCAAAGTCTGCAGTTATGAGGAGGAAACTGAAGCTGCAGTCGAGATAAACCCTCCTCATTAAGAAATGCCAGTAACATAGACATCATTCTTGGAAAGCTGCAGGAATTGAGCAGAGACAAGCCCAAAACAACCACTTGGGCTACAAGCAACAAGGCCACAGAGGCAGGGATACACAAGACCTTTGGGAAGAACATCATGATGCCATGTGTTTCAGATGTGGACACAGAACTACAGGACCTGTTTGACCAGCTGGATTTTGGTCTTGCTCTGATCCTATCCCTTCTTTCTATGCCCCTAATTTTGTAAATGAAAATGTTTACTTTGTACCCATTATATATTGGGTAATTGTAAATTGCTTTTAATTTTATAGAAGCTCATAATGAAAGATTGCATTGAGCCTCAGAGAAGACTTTGGACTTGAACTCAGAGCAGTCTTGGAACTGTTGAGACCATGGAGACTCTGGGAATGGACAAAATGGACTTTGCATTGTGAGATGGTTGTGAGCTTTTGGGGGCCAGGTGTGGAATGTTATGTTCACAATGTGGGGTGTCCCCCAAAAGCTCACATGGGAGACAATGCAATATGTTCAGAGAAGAAATGATTGGGTCCTAAGAGCATTAATTCAATAAGTGAGTTAATTCCCTGATAGGAATTAACTGAGTGATAGCTGAAGACTGATAGGGTGTGACTGGAGAGGTAGGACATTGGGGCATTACTTTGGGGTATATACTTTATTTACTTTGGGGTATGTATTTTATTTTTATTTTGTTGTTCTCTGCTCAAAGCAGAGAAGTCCATTAATATGTCTATTTCTTCTCACAGCAAATCAACTCTTTGAGCATTACTTGTTGAGTTACATTATTCATTGATGCATCAGTTTATACAGTTTGTGTGATAGCTATTGCAGAAGCTGTAGTGGCAGCAGCAGAAACAGCAACAACTGTGATGATGTTAGCTGTAATTACGAAGTCTCATTTAGTTTTTCAGTAATACTGGTAATTCTTCTATTTTTGTCTTAAGGTAGGAATTCTAGCAATAATGGCTAAAGAAAATTGTGCAGCATTCCAGCAAGCACTAAGAAAACAATTTTCTGAACAATTTAGTACAATATTCTGAACAGAATTATTAGATATAATGAAAAGGAAAGGTGAAAGTAAACAAACAGATCTGTTAACCTCCTTTTTTGTTCACATATTAAAACAATACCCAATTTAAATTAAACATTTAAATCATGTGAATAAAAGATATTTGGATCCAATTTTTTCATGAGTGCTCCTGATATATGGACATACACACATACAGACATACAACACATAGCACAAGTGTGTACACATAACACAATAGTAAAAGCCTTGTAGCTTTTCACAGGTGAAATTTCCATTGCAATGTTTAAAAACTCCACAGTTGATTAAAAAATAAAAATAATCAGAAAAACATTAACCTAGGTCTGTATGAGCTCAAAAAATAGAATAGAAAACTTCTTCTTGTAACTTGCATATGGGTTTGAAGGTATTCCCATAAGTAAGCCTCAAGGTTTTTTACATTTGAAATAGACCTTAATGGTGCTATTATTCATTAGCCTCCAGGTGTGGGAACCATTTTTTCAGATGTAAAGATAGCTAAACTGGAGTTCTGGATATCAGCTGTTATGGATTTTGAGCCAAATCATCTTCTTCTTGGTCTGTAGAAATCGCTTTAGTTAGTCTCTCTAGAATCCAAATTGGCTGCTGTTCTCCCTGTGGAAACACACAAACAGACCCCTGACTCCAGAAAATCACTGGGTCAGAACCTTTCCATTGTCCAGTTAGAATATCCTTCCAAAGTACCTTTGGCTTATGTACATTTTTTGGACACATGTGCCTTTCCGCAGCACTAAGTCCTGATGAATCCAAATTAAAAAATTTTAACATAAAAAGGGTTATGATAAATTTATCTTTGGGGGATTTATATCCTTTCCCAATTCCCTCTTTTTGTTTTAATAAGTACATCTTAATAGTTTGATGGGCTCTTTCAACTATGCCTTGTCCCTATGGATTATACAGGATACCTGTTATATGAGTAATGTCAAATTATGGCAAAATTGTTTAAAAGAAGCAAAATTATAGCCAGGGCCATTATCTGTTTTTAACTGTTTTGGAATGCCCACAGTGGCAAAATTTTGTAAGCAATGAGCTATAACATCTTTAGTTTTTTCTCTGGCATGAAGGGAGCCCATCAAATATCTGGAAGAAGTATAACTGTAACATGTAAATATTTTAATTTTCCAAATTCTGGCAAATGTGTGACGTCCATTTGCCAGATATGATTAGGTATCAGTCCTCTAGGATTGATTCCAAGATTAACTTGTGGTATAAAGGTCACACAATTTTGACATTGTTTTATTATATGTCTAGCTTGTTCCTTAGTTATTTTTAAATGCTTTCATAAAGTATTAGCATTAACATGGAAGGATTTGTGAAAATTTGTAGCTTCTTCTAGTACAGAAAAATATATGTATGTCATATGTTGTTTTATCTGCTAAATCATTGCCCAAACTAAGGGCTCCAGGCAATCCTGTATGTGCCCTGATATATCCTATAAAGAATGGATCTTTTCTGTCCCAGATTAGACTTTGTATATTGGAAAACAATAAAGGAAGGGGAAATCCTACCAGCATCTTCAAGGGAATTTATAGCATTAACTATATATAAACTGTCAGAAAATAAATTAAATACGGAATCTTTAAACATCACAAAAGCTTTTAATACTGCATTAAGTTCAACCTTTTGAGCTGATTGTTCAAGTATTAAAAATGTAAAACCTTGATCAGGGGTAACTACTGTTGCTGTACCATTCCTTGATCGATCAGTGAATATATTTGGAGCATTCATGATAGGTGTTTTTCTTGTCATTCTTGGAAAAACTATAGGATGCGAGGACCAAAAAGACAACAAAGGATTAGATGGTAAGTGGTTATCAAATGAAACATTAGATTTGCACATGATTATTGCCCAAGTATTTAACTCATTAGCTAACTCATGAATTTGATCCACATTATATGGAGTAATAATTTTATTGGGAGAAATTCCAAACACTCCCTTTGCTGCTTTTATTCCTTTGAGTATTAATTGTCCTACAGCCTCAGGATACCTAGTAAGAATAGTGTTAGGAGAATAAGATAAATGTATCCATAATAATGGACCTTTTTGCCAAAATACTCCTGTAGGAATATTTTTTGTTGGTAGTACAATAAATAAAAAAGGCAAACTTGTATCAATTCTATCCAAATGCATATTTTTCATATATGTTTCAATGAGTTTTAATGACTTTCTTGCTTCAGGCGTTAACATTCGGGGTGAATTTGGATCTGATGGACCTTTTAGGATATCAAATAAAGGTCCCAACTCTCCTGTTGGTATGCCTAGATAAGGCCTCATCCAATTTATGTTTCCTAACAACTTTTCAAAGTCATTAAATGTTTTAAGTTGATCTACTCATATTTGAATTTTTGGTGGGCAGACCATGGTTGAGGATAATGGAACTCCTAAATAATTAATTGGAAAATTTAATTGTACTTTATCTATTGCTATCTCTAGATTATAATTTTTTAATAAGTTTGTAAGTGTGGCATAACATTCTAGCAATGTGTTTTTATCTTTGTGTGCTAATAATACATCGTCCATATAGTGAAATATTTGTAGTTCAGGATTTTGATTTCTAAGTGGCTGGATTTCTTTGTTAACATAAATTTGACACATAGTTGGGCTGTTAGCCATCCCTTGAGGGAGTACTTTCCATTCATATCGCTGATCTGGACCCTCATGATCCAGCGCAGGGACAGTAAATGCAAAATGTGGACTATCCTCAGGATGAATTGGAATGGAAAAAAAAATCTTTAATATCTATAACTAAAACATACCAGGTTTTTGGCAAAGCAGGTAATCGAGGAATCCCTGATTGAGCAGGTCCCATGATAACCATCTCATTATTAATAGCTCTTAAATCTTGCAATAATCTCCATTTACCAGATTTCTTTTTGATGACAAAAATGGGAGTATTATAGGGAGATACAGAAGGTTGTATATGTCCCTCCACTAATTGTTGTTTGACCAGGTCATGGGCTGCTTGTATCTTTTTTTTTTAGTCAGGGGCCACTGAGGAACGCCTACTGGTCTTTCTGATTTCCAAGTAATTTTTATTGTCCCAGTGACTCCTCCTGAAAACCCAATCCATGTTTATCTGTTTTTTGATCTATTTGTATTGGTGCCACTATACCTTGTCCTTGTTCTCCTAATACTTTTTCTTTCCTAAAACCTTGTCTAGCCATAATAGTGGGCACATTTGAATTGATGTTATTTGTCAATGTTAATCTTAATTGATCTAGAACATCTCGTCCCCATAAATTTATAAGAAGATGATCCAATACATATGGCTGTATAGTTCCTTCACATCCTTCAGGATCCTTCCAATCTAATACCATCGCACTTCTATGGGGATTAGTCACCACTCCTAGGCCTCGAAGCGTTTGAGTGGCTTGTTATAATGGCCAATGTTTTGGCCATTCTTGATGGTAGATAATGCTAACATCTGCACCTGTATCCAGTAGCCCATTAAATTCATGTCCTTGAATATTTAGTTTTATCATGGGGTGAGAATCTAAATTTAAAGAAAGCATAGCCCAATCTACACCTGTGGAGCCTAATCCCCTGGAACCTCTTTCTACAGTACAATTGGAAAATTTATCATGTAGGCTGTGTATTATTAATAACTTTGCAATTCTATCTCCTGGTGAAATTACAGATATACCCCTTGAAGAACTGCTATAATTTTTATTTCCCCTTAAAAATCGGGATCAATTACCCCAGGACTTATCATAAGTCCTTTTAGAGTAGAACTACGTCCTAATAATAAGCCTACTGTTCCTTGGGGAAGAGGTCCTTTTACCCCTATGAGAATGATTTGAACTCCCATCTCTGGAGTTAGTACTACTCTGGCAGAGGTGCAGATGTCCAACTCTGTGCTCCCTATGGCTTGTCTAATGAGGGATCTAATGGATAATGTGTCCTGGGCACTAACCTGATGGTGTTGCTGGGTTCCTCCAATGCCCTGTATATTTGTGGTTGTGGGCCCCAGAGCATTGGGCCCCCCTGCATGTTTTTGGGGCCTGGAGTCCAATGTTTTCCTCCACAATATCGTGGGTAAACACCTGATCCTTGTCTGTTTCTTGACAATGGAGTACCCTCTACAGTAGTCTGAGAACGGCACTCATAAGCCCAATGTCTCCCTCTATGGCATCGTGGGCAAATACCTGGTATTCTACCCCTTTGATACCCAGTTTTGTTAAACCCTCCTCCTATGGGGCAACTCCTTTTAAAATGTCCTATTTGTCCACAATTGTAGCATGTTTTTGGCCTGGCACCTAAAGCCTGTTGTACTGCAGCTGCCAAAACTTGCCCTTGTTCATTAATGTCTACATAATTTAATATATGTGTTTAAATCTCCATGTTTCCATGGTCTAATGGCCTCCCTACACCATCTATTGGCTTGTTCATAGACTAGCTGTTTCACCAATGGCATCACTTGTTCTGCATCCCCAAAGACTCTGGTAGCTGTTTGTATAAGCCTATCTACAAATTCACGTAAGGTTCATTAGTTCCTTGTATTACCTTATATAATTGACCTTGTAAATCTCCATGTCCTTGTAAAGTTTTCTATGCCCTAACAGCAGCTGAAGTGATTTGTGAATATATGGCAGGATCATATCCAATTTGTTGCTGCTGACCCTCATAAGGTCCCTCTGCTAGCAACATATCTAGATTTCTCTGAGGATAACCGGCTGCTGCATTTCACCTAGCCATCTCCATACAAAATTCCTGATTGGCAACCCTCCATAGCAAATATTGTCCTCCATTCAGCACAGCTTTGCACATGCTAGCCCAATCCGCCAACGGCATATTCAAATTGGCAATGGACTCAACCATACTTACATTGAAAGGGGCTTGAGGACCATAGGTTGTTACAGCCTCTTTCAGCTGCTTCACAGTTTTGAAATATAAAGCATGGTGAATTTGCTGCCCTTCCTCATTCTGAAATACAGGGCATGCTAATCTTTGAGGTCCTGTCTCAGGACCCATCTATCAACCATAGGGGTTGAGGGCCACTCAGCATATGTTGTCTCCATAGGTGGAGCTGTTTGTTGAATACATATGCCCTCTGGTGATAGAAAGGGGTTAGTAGCAACCTCCTGTTGTAACTTCTCCCCTGATAGCCCCTTTCTCCTCTAAACTTTCTTCCCTTGTCTGACTAACTTGAGAGACTTCCTTGACTAAGCAAACAGGATCGTACTAACGTCCACAATGGTAATGTGACAACTGGCAGAGTTCCTGGGCTTTCCTTTTCTATCTTTTTAAAATCTTCACCATGATGGTTCCATTGTGATATATTTAACAACCCCTCTTTAATGAACCATGGGCTACACCTTTGTATCATCTTAACGTATGCCCTAACTGTTCTTGATTTTACTGAGATGCCTCCCTCCTTTAGCAATTTACTTAATGCCCTTTCGGTTTGGTTGTTACTAATTTTTAAAAATATTTATTTTTAGTTATAAATGGGCACAATATCTTTATTTTATTTTTATGTGGTGCTGAGGATCGAACCCAGTGCCTCACACATGGTAGGCAAGCTCTCTACCTCTGAGCCACAACCTCAGCCCCTCTTACTAATTTTTAATCCCATATTTCCATGACAAAGATACCCCTCACTAAGATAATGCAAAACAAATCTGAGACAAAACAAGACAAAAATGGAACAAAATTCATTGTATCAATTTTTCTATCTTGACATGTGCATCCATAGTCTATCTCTATCTCTTCATCAGGGGCGAACAACTTTTCTCCCATCCTATTTATTTCTAGGGACAGGCAGCTTGAAACAAAAATGAAACAAATCAACACAAGAACACACTACCCCCTGAAATGGTCACACATCTTCTCGCCCTGTCAGGAGTGAGCAGCTTACCTTGTCACTTACTCCCAGGCGTGGAGATTCCCCATACGGGCCACCATATGCCATAGTCCAGTTGGGCTAAATAACTGAGAGGTGACAAGCAACTTGAAGGTCGAAGCAGGAACTACTTTATTGGGAGTAAACTCAGCAGGAACTCAGCAAGAACTCAAAGTAGCTGGAGCCGCTTTTCTGCTGGACAGCAGAGGTATATATACTCAACTAATTACACACAGCTTAACTTAATTAACATCATCTAGATACAGCAGTCAGCTAATAAGGAATCCTCACCATCTTAATGGCTCGCTGGCGTTGCTTCACAAACCACTCTTCCTGGCAAAGTGCCAGGTGCCATCTTGACTTGATTTGCATCCCCAACACCTCATGGAGAACATTTAAAAGATCCTGAAGACAAAGTGGACTCTGAGGATGGCTCTGAAATCCATGAGCCCCAGGAAAAGTCAATAAGACCTACTGAAACTGTGTGAAGTCCCACAGTGTAGTGGTGCACCCTCCTCCACCAAAGAACCTTAATTAAGTTTCTAAAGGTACTTTCAACATATCTGTTTTTATTAAGAGAACATCAGAAAAAAAAAATTCTGCAAAAAAAAAAAAAAAAACCCAAATGTGGTTAGACTTTCTATTTCCTATTACTCTGTCTTGTAAAAGCTAAGTTTGGCAAAACACTTTGTGATGTTACTTCTGCTTTTGTGGTAAAGCATATAACCTCTGACTCATCTTTAAAAAAGTGAGACAAAAGCACTATGAACTCAAAGAAAAAAAGATACTTTTAGGTAGACTCCAGTAAAAGTGGAAATCCAAGCCCCTCCTCCCAGTGGGTATAAAGTTCAAAGAGTTTCTAGACTAATGGTTCAGTAGAGGAAATTTTAGGATATAGCCACACTCTGAACCAGCTGTCACCAATAAACCTTCCTTCTGCTAATTCCTCAGGTGTGCAGCCTCATCTGTCCTGCATCATTTGGCAATCCATATGGGATGGAAATGGTGAAGTTGCCTCTCTTGTCTCTGGAGTCTGGGATGTTGGAGGACATTGCACCCCTTAGCACACCACAGAGGCAACTCTACTGAAGGAGGCACGACTCACCTGACATCTCAGAGCTGCCACCCTGAAGCATAACAGAACCCATGAGGAGAAGAATCCAAGAATAGGGAACATGGAGCACCACCTGACCAAACAGGTAGGTCCCAGGTTCTTCAGTTATATCCCATCTGACTTCAACCAAGAGGCCTATGTAGGTAGAAGAGAGGCTTGTTCAACATCTGAGGGTCCTAAATAACCTCCAAAAGGAGTTGGAGCCAAAAAGGATCCAGGGAGTCACCTAATTAGTCTCTGTTTGGGGTCAGCAAGCATAGGGGAAACCATGCCTCCCTTTTTGTTGTGTAATATGGGGGTGTAAAATATTGCTCTGACAATTGCTATGGCAAGATTGCAGTAAATCACTGCATCTGTCTTAAGCAGGATGTGGAATATTTATTCAATAGCGGGTAGTCTGGATTTACCAGCTGATAGGCTAAGGGGAAGATTGCAAGTTTATAATCTTCTTTACCCTGTCAAAGGGTTAGAATAGAGCTTTATAGTCCAAAACCACATTAATTATAAGAGGCTCTTGCTATGATTCAAACTAAACAAACAACATGATATCTAAAATCATAAGCAGAAGGGGAAGAAAGTCAAAATGACCCCATTTGAGTACCAGTTAAACAATAGTTATTAACATCTAGACAATATTTTTCTGACAGGATACACTATCCAAAAAAAAAAAATGGGAACCAAAAACATTTTACATTATATAAGAACAGAAAAAAAAAACTGTTTCTAAGCAGGGTGTGATAAGCAGGATCAGGATGGCAGAGGCAGAATTTTCTCATGGGAGAAGCATTTCTTACATGACATAGAGTCTCAGGATAAAATGGAGTCTGTTTGGTCATTGCTCATAGAGCCTGGCCCATAACACCATGTCTATGTGAAAGTGTAAATGAGATGAACAAGGGAAGAATTCAGACCCAACCTGAGTACAAAGTGAGTGCTGAGTCCCAATTCATGGTTCCATGGAACCTCATACAGTCTGTGACAGAATTGCACCAACCAACATCTAGGTGGAAGCTCCAGGTTGGGGGTTGACATGGACCGACAAGGCTGAGAGGACCCTAAGTCCTAAGAGGAGAAAGGCTGGAGATGGACTATGTGATTCTTGTCAGAAGTGTGTGACACTGTTGCAAGGTGGAATATGGGAGGCACACAAAGTAACTAAATCCCTTAAAGCCCTTGGAATGTCTGTTGTGAAACCTTAATAAAGGTTTTAGGAGAGACTATGGGGTGAAATTTACTCAGCAAAGTTGTGTACTCTCTGTGAATTAGAATGGCCAAGCTTAGGTGTGGCCACCAGGAGGATCTTTAATTAAAACTCTCATTGCTGAAGTCTTTTTAATAGTTGTTGGAATCCCTGGATACCCAGAATAGATCCCTTGAATGCTGGAAAGATATAGTCTGGAAACATACCCTTTGGTTGAGAGCCTGTCTAGATAGACAATCCAAATTGTTGTTAGCTCAGATTATACCAGCCTCTATGACCCCCCAAAAGGCAACTAAGCAGAGAAAATCTGACAAAGGGCAGAACAAGAACCAATTTTGCCCAGTGAGTCAGAAGAGAACCCACCTCCTTACATGCCACTCTACCCAACATTCTCAAGACCATCGAGACAATGGGCAGTGCCCTCAGCCCCCTTGTTTCCAGAAACTGCAGAATATAGCCCTTCAATACCAGCTCCTCCTTCCTCTATAAGATCCTCAAGGCCAGAGGCTTCCCCAAAGAAAAAGGTTCCTCCTCCACCTTGCAAGACCAAGATGGGAACCCATCCTAAGACCAGAGCCACAACCAGCTGACACCTCTCCAGATGCCCCTGTGAGAGACTAGAAGACCTGCCTACAGTGACCAGGAGAAAATCATCTGAGGGGCCTAAAGCATTTTTAAGTATCAGGCTTTCTCCTAAAATTATCTCTAAAATTGGAAAAATCATACACTCCTACACAGAGAAAACTCAGACCATGATTGGTATGATGAGATTCATTATCCAGACCCACTAACCTACCTGCTTGTTATGGTTTAGATGTGAGGTGTCCCCCAAAAGCTCACTTGCATTATTGTTATATAATGCAAGAAGGTTCAGAGGAGAAATAGTTGGGTTGTAAGAGTCTTAATCTAATTAATTATTTAATCACCTAATACAGATTAACTGAGTGATAACTAAAGTGGTAGCGTGTGGCAGGAGGGAATGGGAATTGAGGTGTGGTTTTAGATATATATTTGTATCTCACAAGTGGAATCTCTCTCTCTGCTTACTGATCAATATGTGATCTGTGTCCCTCTGCCACATTCATCTGCCATGATGTTCTGCCTCAACTGGAGCCCCAAGGAATGAACTCAGCCTTCTATAGACTAGGACATCTAAAACTGATTCCTCAAGTTAACTTTTTCTCCTTTAAAATTGTTCTGGTCAGATCCTTTAGTCAAACAGCAAAATAGCTGACTAAAACACTGGGGGAACTGCTGCCAGCTACTTCTTAATCTATTCATTACAGATGAGGGCAAATGGGTGACCAAGTGATTTAAAATGGCTAGAGAAACATGTTCCAGATGCACAAGGCAACATCCAATCCTATGCCCAGGCCCAGTTCCCCAACACAGACTCAGGGTGGGACCCCAGCAAAGATGAAGAACTCTGAAACATAAACAGATATAAAGAACCCCTCGTAGGAGACTTCAAAGAAGGGGAAGGAGAGCCCTAAATATGAACAAGATGTCAGAAGTACTCCAAAAGCCTGATGAAAGCCCCAGCCAGTTCTATGGACAACCTTGTGAAGCCTCTCTTTTCTCCCTTTGATCCTGAGGCACCAGACAACCAGCAGGTGGACAACACAATCATTGTGGGACAGGCCCAGAGTGACAGTCAACAAAACTACAAAACAGACAAAAGCAGGTAGGTTAGAGGGTTTTGCTGGGAAGAATGCCAGTGAGCTGTTTGAAGTGGCCACCACAGTGTTTGTCAATCAAGACCAAGAGACCCAGCAAGAAGCAGACTGAAAAATGAAGAAGATGGTTTTTCCTTGCAGCTGCCCTTACTACAGACCCAGAAGTCACCCAAAGGGGTTCCCACCAGGACAAAGCCAAAACAAATATCAGAATCAGAACCAGATGCAGGGCTGGAGGATGGTCTGGACCAACCTCCTCACCTGGAGACTAGGCTGAGACTAAACCAATGCACCCACTGCCAGAGGGACACTGGGAAAATGAATGCCCCACACTGAAGAAAGTCAACTGGGTTCTTTCTACTCCTTACCAGGATAAGTGAGGACAAGTCCTTCAAGGATGATACCAACCCTACAAATATGTCCCCCATCATGCTCAATGCCACAGACACCCCTATGATGCCCATGAATAAATTTTGTGGGATTTGAAGACTTGGAAAATTATGATGAGGACTAGGACTGACTGGGCTCCATCTCTTTGGGCACCCAGAAACCTGTGGTCCCAACACTTATAGGGAACCAACCTATGAAAATTATGGTGGACACTGGGGCTCACCATTTGGTTGTGACCCAACCTGTGGGCCCACTTTCAAAGAAAGAGACCACAATTAAGATGGCCCCAGGAAACAAACTCATCATCCTTTCCTCTTATCCCAGCATTTCAATTTAGCAGGCCATGACTACTACATGGCCTGCTAAATTGAAATACCGGGATATCAACCAGAGAACATGGCATAAAAGGAACGCAGCAGCTTCTCACTCTCCTACTTAAGGCTGGTTACAAAATTTCAAAAAATAAAGCGCAGATCTGTTAAGAAAAAGTCAAGTTTCTGTCTGGCTCAGAGTCAGTGGCAACTGGGCTACAAGACTAAACAGGTGACCTGCTCAATTCAAGTCCCTTCAACCTGCTGTCAAATCATAGAGATGGTCATACTTAATTCTGCTGTATATGGATCCCCAACGTTTCAGTTATGGCAAAACCTCTCTATGAAGGCACACAAAGGAAAAACAGAATCTTCAATTTGGAGGACCAAAAAAACAAAAGGACTCTGGGGAGGATACTAAAGAAGTACTCACCCATACACCTGGACTAGGACTCCCTGACCTCACAAAGCCTTTCTTCCTGTAGGTCCATGAATGGTATGGAATAGCTGTAGGGGTCCTGTCTCAAATGCTGGGAACATGGCACATCCAGGGGCCTATCTATCTAAAGAGCTGGACTCTGTATGTAGCCCAAGGCTGGCCACCTTGCTTATGGGCCCTTGCAGTCATGGCCCTTATGGTATTGGAAGCTAATAAACTGGCTATGAAACAAGAATTAGGTGTACCTGTTCCTCATTAATTTTGACATTATAAGATTACAAAGGATGATATTGGCTGAATAATGAAAGAATGGACAGATACCAGGGCATGTTCTATGAAAATCCACATAGGCTTTTTGAAGTTTTCTAGACTCTAAACCCAGAAACTCTGCTGCCTATCAGAACAGGACAACCTATTACAACTGCACTGATGTCATGGATGAAGTGTTCTCCAGCAGACCAGATCTGACAGACAAGAGCCTATTAACCATCATGCAGAATACTTCAGAGTTAAAATCAGATGGAGACAGCCCTGAGCTTATACTCAGAAACTTTTGGTGGCTCTGAGGACCCATGACACAAAGTGGAAGGCCCTCACCACCACTGTGACAATGAGAATGTCCCAGAATTTCAATGACAGACTGGAAAGACAATAATCCCCACTGAGTCATTAATGAAGGCAATTAGTTATCTAGAATTCCATAGAAGAATCTAAGCTGAAATAGAAAGGAAGACCCTAGTTCTCACTATTACTCTTGGGAAGGTCCTGACATAAAATCAAATCCTGGAGAACAGCTGAGCACAACTGTGATGCTGGAAATGGCCCTCAGCTCCACAGAGACTCTAGGCAATTCCCTGGGATTCAATGAGAAACTCTGAAAAACCCTGAACCTACCGTTTGCTTGGGAAAGATTCAGAGACTAGCTCTGAGGCTGGGAGAAGCAGTGAGCATCACTGAGATCCCAAGAATAGCACTGAGCCTCATAGAGAAGGTGTTAAAGAGCCTTAAAGAGAAGGGGATTCTGAGAATGGTTCTCAAACTCAGTGAGCCCCTAGAGAAACCAATGGCACCTATTGAGAACCTTCAGGAAGGCCCAGAGCTCTTACAGACCTTGGGAATGGTGCTGTGCTTCACTGAGAATCTGGAAAGGCAATGAGACACTGAGATTTTGGGGAAGGCCATGCATACATCTGTCAACCTAAGGAAGACCCTGAGCCCCCTAATACTCTGAGTAGATTTTGAACACTATTGAGTCAACAGTAAATGAACTTTACCCCTCTGAGATTTTGTAGGACTTTAGCCTATTCTAAAACCTGAGCAATAATCTGAGCACCATGAAGACCATGAGGACCTTTCTAAACATGACTGAAATTCTGGAGAAGTCCTTGGGTCCTCCTGAGGCTTTTGGGTAGGCCCTGATCTTCTTAGATGCTAGGGTTGGCCATGAAACTCACTCATGATGAGAAAATATCTAAGATATTTAAATACCTTGAAGAAAAACCTTAGCATCATGAAGGGTCAGAGGTTGGCACTATGCATGACTGTGAACGTGGCAATGTTGCTAAGCTCCAATGACTGCATGAGTAGGGAAAGAAACCAGTAAAACATTGAAGATCCTCGTGCACACATCTATGACCTGTGGAAGGTCCTGAGACTGTAAGGGAACAAAAAGAGAAAGAAACAAGATGCAGGGGCAAAATGGCTGCTTGTCTAAGCAGCTGTCTTTATTTATACTGATAGGTTACATTAGCTCACTGCACCATTAGTACATTAGGTGTTCTGGTCAACCATGCATTAGTTATCGTAATAGTGTCTGGGAGAAACTGCAGAATGTTCCAGCTGTGGGAAACAGGACACCTTTATTCTCCAAGAATTTGCTCACCAGAGACACTTGCTGTTTAGTACATTTCCACAGTCACACACTTATAGCTTCTTCTTTTTTGGTTTGTGTGGCCTTTTGGAGGGATAACATTTGGGGTTTGTTTTGTTTTTCAATATTGGTGGAGGTAAAAAATAGGGTAGGCTATGATAATAACAAAAACAAAACAACAATCTGAGTATTAGTAGACACTCACCTATGACTAGTTGTTTAATCCAAGTAAGATTGGTTAACCACACGATTAACCAATCCAGTATATCTAAACTTCCATAATCCAGTTGGATCTTTTTAATGATGTCTATAAGGTAATATAACTCTTTTGAACTAGAGGTACTATTGTCACTTAAATTAAAGCAACATATATTGTTAAGATTATTACAGCCTTTATGATATAATACTAATAAATAATCATTTGCAGCCCAATTGTGAAGAATGACTTGATGATTTTTGTGCTTCATTTAGCATATTGATTTCCATAGAGTTATAATTCATATTTTTCACCATATCACAGGCCAATTTCATAGTTTGTTTGTAAGCCTGACAGTCAATCCAATGAGTACAAAATTATGCAAAAGCATAGGACATATATGAAAGTGCATATATTGATATATTTTTAAATGTATTTGCCCATAGTGGCAAAGTAGAGTAATAAATGAGAAATGCAAGCAGGTACCTTTTCAGACCTATGGGCACTAGCCCAAATGAACCCAGAATTAGTCTTAATGGAAATATGGAGAAAGGAAAAAGGATAAAAGGGAGATGGAAAGGAAATGGACATTATCCATTTCCCAAAGTGCATTAGACTGTAGGCCCTGTGGATTTACAGATTCCCACATGGGTTCCCAGAAGGGCATACAGTGAGAACAGTTACTGACAATGGCACAGCCTGTTGGGAAAAAATGGAAAACATCTTCATTAGTGAGCGAGGGTTTTGATGAAAATATCTATGAGCTTCTACAGCATCTGAAAATAAAGTATAAAGAGATCTCAGAGTCGCATCTGTGTGTTACCTTCCATCAGAGGTCCAGGAATTTATCATTAATAAAAACAGATAATACCTGCTTTGCTTACCTCCATCTGTATACAACATCAACCCAGCTATAAGAAGAATGGTAGAGATCAAGAAAGAGGGGGAGTGTGTAATATGACATAATAAAGAGCCTCACCCATCATGAGACATGTGAAAAGAAATAAGTGCTTAAAAATAATCTATTAATTCAACTTGATAATAGGAGAAAAATTGTAAGTATTGGAGATGTAGAATTTTTCCATAAGTGAGATATAAAACATGAATATCCATGCCTGTTAAAGATAAAATTTTAGTGCAACCATCAGCAGTTAATTATGCATATATCAGCCAAAGGCAGAAAATTACAGCCTGAAAAATGAGGAGAATGTAACCATTCTGATATACACAATCTTTGATTATAAATAGCAATTACTGCTATAAAAGCATAAAGTTTTCCAACAAAAATTAGCAACAATAATAGCCCATTATATGCAGGAGATTGATCCACCATTACTGGCAAAAATTTTCTGTTAATGTTTTGTAGAGCTTAAAGAAGGCAGTGTAGTGTTGTTTCTTTAACAACTAGAAAAAATGAGACAGCATACCAATATTTAATGGAATATAGGAAATTACCCAATGTAAATGTACTAGAAATTGCTATAAATGAACCAAAAAAAAAATTAGAAACAAGGATCAAATTTGGGATGTGAGCAATTGAATATTTTTGAAATAATGTATATCCCAAGTAGGTGATAGGTCATTAATGTTGATTTTTTTCTGTAACATGGAGTTCTGATTGTAATAACACTTCCTGTAATGTTTGTAGAATTTCATCTATGATGTTTCATCCTATAAGCAATATATTATCCATACAATGATAAAGAAGTAAATGAGAAAATTTCTGATCACATGAGAACAAGGCTGTATTAACAAAATATTGACATAATGTTGGGATACTTAGTATTTCTTGTAGGAGAACTTTCCTATGGAATCTATTAGTAGGCTTTGATGGTTAAAAATGGGGATAGTAAAAGCAATTTTTTTATCTTTCTGATCATCAAATAAAGAGAGGAATCTTTTTTAAAACATTGTTTTAAGTCAATGACATATAAATAAAAATCCTGAGGAATTAAGTTTGTGTTTGGTGATCTGCATTGAAGCAGACCCATGAGTTTATACATTTATTAATTTCTCTTAAATCTTGAAATAATGTCCATTTTCCTGATTTTGGTTTTATAACAAAATGGGCATATTCCAAGGGCTAGTAGAAGGTTCAATATGTCCTGATTATAGCTGTCCTTGAACAAGGGCCTCTGCAGCTGCCAAATTTCTTTTTACAGTGGCCATTATTCAACCCACAAAGGAGTGGAGAATTTCCACTGTAGTGACAAGGCAGTCAGATCTGCAGAGAACCCTATGGAAAAGGTAATTCTGCAGACATCTGGAATTTATGTAGCATGTCTCTGCCCCATGTAGCAAAAGGTATTGCCATCACATATGACTGTACATGAGTGTTGATTTGTGTTGGATTGGTAAGGGCAGAGCATTGTGAAAACAGGGAGCTCTTGGACACCATTTCATTATTGCCTCTTATGTCCCAAACCAGAGTTGCCCTTTGAAGGGGCCATGTATGAGGCCATACGAAAAGGGGTATGATATTAGCACCTATGTCCAATGATCCCATAATTGGTTGTTCATTTAAGTAAAGAGTCAATTTAGGTCTACTTTC